TACAATTTTTGAAAAAAAGCAGGTTGGCGAGTGGCGAATCGGAGAAAACTATTATAAATACTTTTTTTGTAAATAAGCTGATAAACAAGCCAAATTCTGGTAGAGATTTAAAATTCTATTATTTTATTTATAGACATATGCTCTATATATTATAACACTTTTTGATAAGGTTATATGTAGAAAAATTATCATTTCTTTTCATTGTCATAAATATTCTTACCAACATCACCACTTATCACTCAAGAGAATCTTATTTTAAATATGATTTTTTTATTATAATAATTTTAATAAATATATTTTAGTTATTATTTATTATTATATAAAATTTAGTTAAATATATTTTTTTTTATAGCTATAAAGAAAGCGCATGCAGAAAGCTTTAATTTACATGATTCTTATAGCATGTTAAGCAATTCAACAAAACGTTTAGTAATAAAACATAATTAAAGTCTAAAAAAAAAATTACAAATTGTTAAAATAAGTTTAAAAATATTACATATACAAAAAGCTTTTACAAAATTTCAATTAATTTATGCTACTTTAGTGTAAAAAGTTTTCAAAATTTTAGCAATGAACCAAATTTATAGTAAGGAGCGGTAAGTTGGAAAATAAAAGAAAGCGAAAAAGCTTTTTGATTTAAAAGTGCTTGAATTATTTACAATGTCTTGATTTATGTTACAACTTATTTAGGGGTTTTTTAGCGATTTGATTTAATAATTTAGCACACACGGCCACATATAACTACAATACAAATTAAGAAACTTTTAATAGGCTATTAAAGCTTTTGGAACTAAGGTATACTATGTATTAAAACAATACATTTCTACTTATTCTATTCAGGTAATTACAAGCACCTTTTAAATATCCGAGATTTTTCTCAAAATTTTTCGTTCCATAGAATATGTTATTACAATTAGTATGTTTGAACAGAGATTAATATAGAAAGACTACTTGAAATTCGATATAAAATATTTAATGAATACTTTAGGAAGAATTTTTCCGAGATACATATGGGGAATACAACCAGTCTTTAAAATTAGAAAATATTTAGTTATAGAGGCAAGCTTTTAAATCCTAACTTTTTGACAGCGGTCTCGCAAGCGATCTAGTTATTTTAATAACTCCTTATTTGCTCGATGCTTTAGCGAACATCGTTTCTATTTATGATATGAGCCTGAATTGGGTAAATGAAGGAGAAAGTCTCAAATCACCTCTAAGCTCCAGGTGATGTATTTTATGATTTGCTTTCCATATTAGCAAAAACTTTGGAGTTTTGTACTGTCTACTGAGAGCTGAGTGCTTCTATGAACCTTTAATGGCTACATCATCATTTTAGAAACTTCACATAGATTTGTGGAAATCGAGATATTATATTATCAAGATATCAAAGAATGAACGATTCTATTAGTGAGTTTTCAATTAATGCATATTAGGTAGGTAAGTAAGTAAAGTGGCTGTCATTCGACACACTTAGACCTTTAGGAGGCCCATTGTGATACCATTGGGACTGTGATCCCCTTACTCTTTTGGCTCCTCTCTGAAGCATCCCGTACTTCTGATGAAATTCATCAGCGAGACAAGTTTTATCTATGCAACCTCCGAGACGTCGTCAAGAAACCCACGACCGATGGTTGCGATTCTTTTCCTATACAGTGCTGCGCAATCGCATAGAAGATGTTTAATGGTCTCCTCTTCTTCTACTTCCTGACAGCTTCTACAATAGTCGTTATATGGCGTGCCAAGTCTACTTGCATGTCTGCCTATTAGACAGTGGCCTGATAGTACTCCTATATACATATTTGTGGCCTGCTTACCGGGATCTAGTTGTAGGGTGGTGCCTGTTCTGGCCCTTTCTAAGTATCATAGACTGCCCCTTGTTGCTGGCGACTAGTAGGGAGGATTCCCTCAGTTTCAGAGCTGACTTCGCTGCCATTTGCTTGCAATACAGATCTGTTGGCAGCAAGTGTAAAATTATGTTGAGTGCCTGGCTTGGCGTAGTTCTGAGAGCTCCACTGATGCAAATACTAGCTGCTCTTTGTATACTTTCTATGCTTCTGATCGCATATTTCTTTTCTGTAATTGGCCACCATATTACTATATCGTAGGTCATGATCGGCCTTACAATTGCTGTGTACAGTTAGTGAGCCACCCGTGGTGTCAGTCCGCATCTGGTTTTGTTTCCAAGAAAGCTTCCTGTCCAAAATTTGTTCTAAGTAGCTTGCTTTATCTTCTACCGTTAGCCTGGTGCCATTTAAAAATGGCGGCGTAATTTCTGGAGTACGGTGTTTCTTTTAAACAATACTAGTTCTGTCTTGCTAGCATTTAAATTCAGTCCGCATGATACGGCCCATCGATTAATATCGTTTAATATTGTCTGCATAAGGCTAGCGAGGGTGTTCGGGAACTTGCCCCTAACCGAGACTGCCACATCATCAACATAGGCCACAACATGTACCCCCTTCTTTTCTAGACCCACAAGCATTTTATTCATTGTCAGGATCCAGAGAAGTTGGGATAACACGCCTCCTTGGGGTGTACTCCTTCGGACAGATCTGTGCATCGTTGAAGCTTCCAGCTCAGAGATGCCCAGATCTTTAAGCGCGCTCAATATGGCCTTCGGCTGGATGTTGTTGAAGGCACCTTCTATGTCTAGAAAGGCTACGAGGGTGTATTCTTTTATTTCCAGAGACTTTTCAATCTCTGCTACCACTGAGCTTAGTGCCGTTTCTGTGGATTTACCCTTCGAGTACGCATGCTGCGAAACTGCCATTTTTCTTGGGTTTAGTATGTCCTTTATATGTATTTCTATTAGTCTCTCCAGCGTTTTTAAAAGAAATGATGAAAGACTAATTGGTCTAAAATCCTTTGGATTAATGTGTGAGCTTTTGCCAGTCTTTGGTATATATATCACCTTGACTTCCCTCCATATCGATGGAATATAGTTTAATTTTAGTGCCCCTCTAAACATGGTTGTTAACCAGTTTATTGTGTAGCTCAGGGACTGCTGTAACTAAGCCGGGAATAAAACGTCTGGTCCCGGCGTTTTATAAGGCTTGAAGCTGCCTATTGCATATTAAATAGTGGCTAGTTTAAATATGAATAAATTGTCTTTTGAATTAAGATTGAAATTTGATAGTCCGAATATTTTCATACAAGGCTTTCTCAGCTCTTTTCTCTAGATTAGATTCCAACTATTGCTGTGTAGTGTATGCCATTCATTTTAAGCGTAAACAACAATACTTTTTTTCACTCAAATATGTTGAACTTTGTGCTTGAAAGGCTGGTGACTCTTCCGCATTACTTTAATATGAGAGAACCACCATCGTATGTTGGTGGAAGTTTATAATGAACTTGATATAGCCGAGCTATAGTGCAAAATGGTGATTTTGGGTTGGCAGACGATGAACGTTCTCGGCAGCCCAAAAATATTGAAGATAAGCAACTGAAAGCATTACTCGGTGTAGATTGTTGCCAAAGACAAGAAGAGCTTGCAAAGTCATTGGAAGTTACTGAAGCAGCCATTTCAAACCCTTTCAAAGCAGTTGGATAGATTCAAAAGCAAAGGAATTTGGTGTCATATGAATTGAAGCCAAGAAACGTAGAAGAAGGATTTTGCATGTCAGAAATCCTGCCTGAACGCTACAAAAAGAAATTGTTTTTACATCGGGTTGTGATGTGTAATGAATATGAGCTTTTGAAACCGGGTGAGACGATTAATGGGGAACGCTGGCGACAACAATTCACCATATTGAGTCGAGCGATTGTTGAAGAACACCCGTAATTTGCAACTAGATATGAGTAATAATTTTCCATCTTGACAACGCTCAGCCTCATGTTGCAAGACCGATTAAAAACTCTTTGGAAAATAGCGAATGGAAAGTTTTGTCTCACCTGCCTTATATCCCAGACCGCACGCTCTTACTGGAATACGTTTCACATTAAATCAAATTTACTTGATTCATTTTTGGCCGCCAATCAGGGCCGGTTTTTTTTGTAATAGAATCTCCATATTACCAGAGAGATTGGAAAAAGTTATAGCTTTAAATGAACAGTGCTTTAAGTTGTACATGTTATAGACCCACCCGCTTCGAATGTTCACGTTATATTTCACGTTCTAACATAAATCTACTAACATGATCGATGAGAAGTATTTGTACTGAAAGTATCAAACTAATTTTTCGAAATCGAATAAGTGTTATTATCGTTGAAGACTTGTATATTTGAAGAGATTTAGTAAAAGTTAAGGTTGCCGTAAGGTATTGCCATTTCTTACCTAATATTATTCTTTTAACTCACTGATTTTCGTCCACTAATTAAGCTATAAATATTAATTTTACAGTGAGTATAATTCTATGAAGTGTAAGTTATAACGAAAAGGATAGTGAAAAGTCAGAATTAAGTAGAATCCAAACAGAGATAGCTAACGACTATAACAGTATTGTTGTAATAATTACTACAATATATAATATTATATTTAGGAATAGTAGGGTATGGAATTAGTTAAAAACTAGTTATATACAATATAAAGTTTCCGTAGAAGAGAGTTTGGTATTAAATTTTAGAGATTAGGGATTACAAAAATTAGTACTAGTTTATACTAATATAGGAGTATAGTACAGAAAAGAAAACTAGCATGAGACAAAAAGGAGTGAAAAGACTGTTTAAATGCCTTTTTATTATTGTAAAAGTGGGTAGCAGGAAAAAGTATTGAAGTTTAGAAACTAAGAAGCCGTGTGTGTAAATTATGAGGCGTGAAGTGGCACAAAATTTCAATAACGTATATTAAATTTTTTTATTATATGTTTATAAAGTTACTTGATTTTTTTCACATTTTTTTTAATTCTACTGCAATTTAGTGCCGCTCCATTTGCATGATTTGTGTTGTTTTTTTTTAATTTAATGAACGATATGATTAGTTAGTGAAAATATTTTTTATATTTATAATTATAAATATTTATCAAGTTTATGTTTAAGTTTGTCATTTTTAAGTAGAAACTTACCAACGAAAGCCAAAGATTGGTTATAAGAAGTTGATTCTTCTCGTCCTACAAACATAAATAACAACAACAAAAAATGTTGGAACACCAAAAAAAGTGAGAAAAGTAAATTAAACAGAAACATTGAAAACCGAAAGACATTTAGAAATCAAAAAAATATTGTTTTTGTTGTTTTTTTTATAAAAAAATAGTTAGAGTAGAATTTTTTGTTTTAGTAATTTGGAAGAGGAGTATAAAGTAAACGAATAAAAGAAAAAACAGAGACACAAATAACAAATTTTTGTTTAATTCGCACAAACATTTGAACGACATTTATTTATATTTAAACAGTTTAGATTTATATTATATTTGCTTGTTTTCTGTTTTGTTTTTGCTTTGTTTAAATGTTAGTAGTAAATAGTGCAAAATAAAATTTGGGCAAGTAATTGTGTATTGTTTAGTAATAAAATTATTAGTTGTCACAAACAAATGCTTAAGCTGTGAGCCAGGCGCAACGGCGTATGAGTGATTTTTTGTAAAGCTTATATAATATATCATCTTAGTTTTGTTGTTTTTTTGTTGCAAGTAAGCGTTTAAGCTTAGATGGTTTGCATAGCGAAAGAGAGATTTTGTATATTAAATTTTTCGTTGTCACACAATTTGTTGGCACAAACTAAGTCGAACAAAATTTCCTGTTAAAAATACGTTTTTGTTGTTGTTATAACATTTTTTATTTAAATTTTTATTGTATTATTAAAAATATATATACTTGTTTTATTTTTTCAAGTAAAGCAGCATAAACGTTCATGTAAAAATATACACATGTATAAAAAAAAACTGTTTATGGTGAAAGCTTCGAAAGCTTAGTATTAAACAGACTTATTTAATACAATTGGATGTGAGGTTTAAAATATTTTCCTTTATAAGCTTGTATGTGGGAAAATATAATCACATATACAATATTTCCTAGCATGGAAGCTTTCACTATAATTTATGTGAAAGCTTATTGTTAACCGCAGCATACGTGTATCGCAGCGACGTTTAAACTATGTTAAATTCTTCTACATTCTGTCCAAAAAACATGTTTTGCTAATTGTTATTAATTAAAGAAATCGGCATTACTTAAAATATTTATTATGAAAGCTTTATGAAAATACATAACTAAAGGTCACACCCAGAGCGGAACAAGAAAAACAATACTTAATAGATTATATACTTACAAATAACATACTAAAAATTTAAATCGGTACCCACAATAGTTTTTGAGTTACAGTCTTCAAAAATATAGCAGCTCAGTCCAATCAGCTTTATCAGTTTATCTTTAAACGCGTTTTTCTCAAAACAAAATTATTAAATTTGTTTGATTGATTACTTACTATAAAGTACTTCTGCGTGTTCTACACAATGATTGACCAATTTTAGATCTGCTCCAAAATGGGATTTCGGGAAGTCACAATAGATCAAAAATTTGGGTAAAATTCCATTTTTTCATACCACGGCATTTTGTCAACTTTTGGTTTTTCGAGTTCTTAGGTCTTATACACGAAGAAAGCCGGAATCACTGCAGCAATTATTTAATTTTTTGCTTAAAAGTTTTTTTAAACATATGTATATTAATATAATCTTAAAACAATTAATACAGTTGTTTTTTGTTTATTCTTAAAAATCACAATCACATTAGGTATGCATGTGTAGGCTTGATATATATGTAAGTGGTCAAAAATTTCTTGCTATAAAAAATATAAAAATCGTTCTCTTCAGAGACATGTAATAGTGGAGTTATTAAGAGAAAGCTTTTCGGCAAGATGCAGAGCTTTGTTTAACTACCTTCAAGCCACACACGCTTTGCTAGCTTTTCAACAGTGAAATGCTTTTTTAGTGATTGAGAATAAGTGAAAGCTTCCTTTGCGTAATTATCATATTGCGAACATTTCGTTAGGAGTGCAAACTGGAACTTATTTGAAAATGCATTTCATTGCTATAAAATTACATATTATATTACAGAACATGTGGTTTCGTTATATTGTTGGTGAAAGCTCTTGTAAGTTTTAGAATAAAGGTTGCATTCAGCTTTTTACAAACCAGTGGCATTTTGCTCGTTTTTAATTTAAATTAATGAAATGCTCATGGTTATCTAACAAGCTCAATTCAATTTCACTCTGTGGAAATATTATGATTTTCAAGAATTTTCTTCTACTGAGCATTTTACATAAATAGTTTAGGATTAACACAATGTGAATTGATTTTTTATTTTATTTAAATTTCTCTCTTCTCTATTTCACATAAATTTTAAATTGTCTTGCAGCTTAGAAAACCTATTATCCTGTCAATGCTGTAATACCTAAATAATATTTTTGAAAGCTCTCAACTAGTAAAGCTTCTTGCATGACTGTACTTATGAAAACTGAAAAAATAATTTTTTTTTTCGAAAACATATGAATAATTTTTTATAATCTATTTTAAGTCTCCTTTGAAAATCTAAAAATGTTGTCGAAATCCTTTCCGTTCCATTTCTTGGTTGCTTCAAGATATAATTCTAATAAGCACAATTTGTGAATTGCACTTGTAGTTTTGTGTTTTTGGTAAGCACAATGAATAACACATTATAATGATGCTAAAACTCTTTCAATCAATCACCTACACACATACACCCATGCGCACGCACACATTTTTTGCATTAAATTGTGTTCATCCATGTCGAAGGGGCTGCAGCAAGTAGTGAAAGGTCAACTAAGCTTCACAGAGTTCACTACTTTGTACGCCATGTGTACAGTTAAGTACTTTACTCAGAAATGCTCATCAATGCTTTTAAACTCTAATGTAACGTTTTTTTTTGCATTTCTTCTATATGGCGCTTTATATAGGTATGCACATTTTAAGCTTGCTACAATTTGTGGCTTTTCGCTTAATTCTTGAAAGATTAAGAATTTACGATTTTATGAGAATCAATCGTAAGCGTAAAGAGAAACGCAATGATCGGACCAACCTCAACTTTTGAACAGTAGAAGAGAGATGGTCTGTCTTTGTTTACACCCCGTCTTCCATCACACATTTGATATGTTAGTGCGCGGCAAACTAGGTTAAAGGCGTTCTGAAACTTCCAACTCCATACATCATTCCAATAAAACAAACTGACTTCGCCTGCAGATACCTATGATTCGATCGGGCTTTTGAATTTTTAAAACTTATTAGGTTTATATTTTATTTATTAAGATAACTCGCACTCAAATACAGTCGAAACAATAATCCGAGAGTTTCGCCTTCTCAATTATATAATATTATATAATTAGATATAAAATCTTGACTAGCTACAATTCGAAATATTATTTGTAAACGGTTAACTCCAAAAGGATGATTCTTAAAATTTTTTTTTTCGGAAATCCCACTTTTTACTGAAAAAACAGAGAAAACTAGTTACGAAGGTTCTTAGCGAAATTTTTTCAAAGTCAAAGACTCCTAACGATCTCGTGTTTCTCCTTTAAAAATTTAATTGGTTGATTTAGAGGTTATTAAGGAAAACTCAACTTTCATTGCGGACTTCCAAAAGTGTCCATGAAAGAGAATGATATAAATTGATTGAACTGATTTTGCTAACAGTTTTCGGGCAGAACTGCAGAAATATTTGGCAGTCATCAGATCATTTACCTCCGTGTAGTCAAGCAAATTTGAAAAATGTAGTTTTGAAAAAGCGCTTTTAAAAATTAATCGACGGAGCTGATTGAACTGAACGGCTACACTTTAGAAGATTGAAATTCAAAAACTGTTTGAGATATCGATTTAAAATTTTAGTATGTTATTTTTAAAGGTTTATCCCAACGAAATATTAAACAAATATTTTTTTTTATTTCACATTAGGTGTGCATCTTAAGGATAACTCTTTAAAAGCACCATGTATGATGTGATTTTTTCTGGTGTAATTTTAAACATTTCCGCCTATAGCTGCATGAAACTACAGCGACATGATAAGCGGAGTAATCCAGCGAATCAAACATGCACGGAGTAGATTAACGGGGTGAGTAAAAACCTATATACTCGTGAATATTGTATTTGTATATGTGTAAATTTGTAAGCGCTTCCATGATTTTCGAAAGCAAACCTTTTTGTTGCGCATTTCAATTTGGACTGTGAATGCAACAGTCGTTCATTAAATTTGGCAAGGATTTGCAGGCTTGCTGTTGTTAGCAGGCGCTCAAGAGCCCATTCACACACACACACACACCTAAGCATTAAGGGCTACACAAGCACTCGCTGCCCGCTGGAGAATGATAATGCCGGCGTTTCCAATTAAATAAATAGCGTTTAGCGCTCGGAGTGCCGTTAGTAATACATACAACTTGATAGCGGTAACATTCACGGGAGTGTGTGTGTTTAAGTACAAGTGTACAAGTATTTTGTGCCGCCAATTGCCCTGCGCTGGCGCATTTAAACGTCTCCTTGCCGCAACATTGTTATAATTTGGCTTACAACAACAACAATAATAACTGTTGCAGTGTACTCAACAATAGCAACAAGAAAAGGCATAATCTCTAACTTTGCAGCAATCAAATAATTGTCGATATGTATTATAGACAATACAGTATGCGGCCATTGTTTCATATCAGACTGTAAAAATCATTTCATTTATTTTAATATGAGCGCAATCGAGATTTTGTGAAAATTTAGGCATAATGGCATAGTCAGCCAATTGTTCGAATTGAGGAAGTGTTAATGTGTATATGTCTGTGTGTGTGAGTTCGTTTACGTTCCAAAATTGCGGTCGTTTGTTAAATATTTCCATCAAGATTGGCGTTGCGGATTTCATTTCAACATTTCAATGTGTGATAGGTTATATGTATTTGTGTGTATGTACGTATGTATGTATATGTATTTTTATGTCTTGCAAAATTCAATTTTCTCCCAAAGCAATGTGTTGCAAACATCTTCCCTTGTAAACCTCAATTTTCTATGATTTCAAAATCACTTTTCTTGCTTCACAGTTGTAATAATAATAACGGCGACAAATGCTTTTCACTATCGTCGTGGCAATTTGCGCACATTTATTATTTTAAATTTTCCAAAGCAATATTCTC